ATGTGCAGAGGCATGTCGCTGAAAGGCTCACTCTTCTGAAGTACTTGCTTTTTTTTGTTTCATATTACACTTCGCACATGTACATATGCATGTCCACACAACGGAATGCCAAAATAGCAGATCAACCGTATGTGCGTAAATATACACATGATCATATGTGTGTGTTTTTTCTATATATATATATATACACATGTATACACATATACAGACACATACATACTTGGTTTGGTTGTATGTATGTGTGCAAATGTAATATGTATATACACACAGATACACAGGCTTGTTTTCAGACAGGCCATGACATTCGTCAAAAACGGTAAAACAGATGTGTGATTGATGAACACTAAACCCTAAACCCTAAACCGTTCATCAGGCAACAGGGATCCTGCTGTTGGGACCCTACTTCATAAACCCATCAGAACTTGGCCAAACCTGAAATCCTCTGTCAATCCTGGGTTAAGCCGTAGGTCCTATAAACCCTAACCTCCAAACCCTACACCCCACTGCTCTTGCAAGCCCGAGCTAACGGCGAGACCTGCATGCGCACGTCGTGCTTGCTCATGCTCTTCCTTAGACGACTCTTTCCGGGTTTTACTTCGGGTTTAGGGTTTAGGGATTACAGCATTACACAGACCCTAGCACACCGAACATATAAAAACAGTGAAGACCCCGAGGCCTACACACATATGTATATATATATATACAACATTATACATATATGTAAAAGAATAAAATATAATATATGTTTATACCTATATATATATATATATATATGTACATCTGCATAATATGTGAAACCCTTCAAAGCCTGCGCATATGCTCGCAACACCCTATCAACGCCGTGAGACCCTTCAACAAATCAGCCGTTAACTCTGTAAGCCCGAAGCCCCGAATTACCCAAACGCATAAACTGCCGAATCCCGAACTCGAAATTCCGAAGCGTCACACCTTCCACGGGAAAGGCCCTTTTGAATTGTTAAGCAGATCTTTTTATGTATATACAGTCTTATATAGTTGTATATACATACGCATACACAATCATATACACACATGCCCCCCCAAAACACATATATCATCAGTCCTTTCGAGCTTTAGGCGCCAAAAATTCATTTCCTATGGTTCACTCTAAAAACCACATACAACCCTATGGTTGCACCCGAAAAAAGGAGACGGAAACCCCAAGCCAAACTCCAAACCACTAAACCCGATTAGGGTTTAGGGCTTAGGGTCTAGGGCCTACTTGGAGGATCATGGGACTTAGTAAGTACGGTTATAAGTTTGCTAATTGGGGTTATAAGTATAGTTACCTTAATTATAACCCTACTTACTAAGTCCCATGATGCTTTAAGAACTCCAAACTCCCTGCTTGGCGTCTTCTCCGCCAGCAACTCCAAGGCTACCTCGAAGGCGATGACGTCGATGAAGCGCTGGCCTCCACTTTCGGGCATCCCTTTTGACGTTTGAGGGTTTAGGGTTTAAGGATACCCGGGTAATTTTCACCGAAAAATAAGCCACATGCATCAAAACAAACAAAAAACAGGATCAGTTCAATTAAAATTAAAACCAGTACCTACACAATAGGGCTAGTGAAAAAAGTGAGGGTGACAGATCCAACAAAAATACATTCGGATCAAAAAACAAGTAAAGTGGACTAGTAATGCTAATCGTCATCGTCGTCGTCGTCGTCGTCGTCGTCGTCGTAGTAGTAGTAGTAGTAGTAGTAGTAGTAGTAGTATTAGAAGTAGTACTACTACCAGTAGTGGTGGTAGTGATAGTAGTAGTAGTAGTAGTAGTAGTAGTAGTAGTCGTGGTGGTCTTGGCGGTGGTGGTGGTGGTGGTAGTGGTATTCCCGAGACGCGCCAATTTTATGATGTGTCTCTGAATATTTCTATGCGCTTCATACTGGCTTGTTAGGCTCTGCAAAATTATATTCCCGTTTAGGAGCTCGTCGCCCGGCCTCCACGACCTTGACTTGGGTGGTGGCTGTAGGGGTTTTTGTACTTCGATTCTAAGTCTTAGACTGTGCAGGGATCTGAGGGTTAGGGTATTTGCGGGGTCGGGATGATGGTCTAGCTTCCACCAACAGAAGGGTTTCAGGCAGAGAAGCTCAGACTCTGTCAAAAGGTGTATTAAGCTTCAAAAAGGCTTTTGATTATAAGCTTTAGGATTTCGAGGCAGATTGAAGCTTACGGTATTTTTGGGAGTTTGTGTCAAGTAAGCGGGCTGCACAATGGGGTTTGGCCCCTAAGCCGCTAAACCCTATTGTAGACGATCTTAAAGGTTGACAGATTCGTGTTGGAAGGTGTTGAGATCAGCCAGATGTTATACCCGTTTGTTTATTTAAGAAGGCTTCCTCAAGGCTTCTGTTAGGCTTACTATCAAGGATACTGCTTGGGGTTTAAACCCCGTTTCCGATTGTTCATCTTCTCTAATTAGAAGCCGGCAGACATGATGGTTCTACTGCGGAACCCGAATCCCTAAAATTTAAGCAACTTAAAGGGCTTAGGGTTCAGGGTTTGAAGCTTTGTTACCTGCCTTTCCGCTTCACACGCGTGTCGCAGAAGATGAGGTCAACGGCGGCTGAGTTCACAGTCTTGTCCATGAGCTCACAGTCCTAGCTCAGGGTTTGCGGCTTGGGGGTTTAGGGGTTAGGGTTTGGGAATTCGCAAGTCTATCCTCACAAAGCTTTGTCCCTAAAGCCTAAAGCCTAAACTGCCCATGGTCTTTAATTTAAGATTTTCAAGGTCTCGAACACGGCTTCAGGGATGTCGGATCAATGAAAGTCTTGAAGAAATCGCAAACAAATCAACAACTAAAGGGACAAATATATGTATGTATATACCTAATGTATGTGTAAATAAATATAAATATATATATATATATATATGTGTGTGTGTGTGTGTTTATCTATTATTTATGTGTTCAAGTATATTTATACATAAGGTAATATTATTAAACCTAAACCCGAATCCCTACACCCTAAACCCTAAACCCTCAACCCTAAACCCTAAACCCTAAACCCTAAACCCCTAAACCCTAAACCCCAAACCGTTCCCTAAACCCACGCACTGAATCCTAAGCTCCAAACCCAAACCCCGAATCCCGAACTCTTAGCCTTAGGGTTTAGGGTTTAGGGTTTAGGGTTTAGGGCTTATGGGCTCTTGGCCGTAGCCTAAACCGCAACTCCAAACTCCAAACTCTAAACTCTAAACCCGGAATATCCCTACACCGTCATCCTAGACCCTACATAGACACAAACCCCGTATCAGCCTTGAACCTTAAACCCTAAGCCCTAAACTCTAAGCCCTAAACCCAAAGCC